TGACAAAGTTCAGAGGGAAGTGTGAGAAATGTTGCTCCAGCCTTGTAACAGATTATACTGTTAAAGCTATTTGCTTTATCAATTCATAGCGTATGTCTTAACTTCTGGAAGGCCGGCCAAGGTCTCTGATTTTATAAGATACTCTGGAGATAGTAACCTATTTGTTGTTAGTCTGTCTTCCGTGGGTAGAGCTTTGGTACCTAAACAGATTCTTATTTAACAAGTAGATGACAAGATTTTATATAGCAAGAAAGAGTTCTTGTCATCCAGTAGTGACAAGAAAGATTCCATGTGGTTACTCAGCTGTGTCATCAATTTTTTCTAAAGCAATAGTTCAGATTAACAGCCATTCTTCTGGCAAACTATCCTTTAGTTTTATCTTTGGTTACATCTGAGACTGTTACTGTGTTCTGATTCCCACAAAAGTTCAGTTTTGGGGGGAGATTATGAACATGTCTTAGTTACTTTGTGAAATAATATTTGAACATTAAAATGTAATTGTTATAAATCTGTTAAATATATCATATTCTGTTCATTTGTGGGCCAGATTATTGTCTAATTCAGTACTCTACTTTTGAGGCAATAAAATTACATTGACTAATAAGTATTTAGTGTAACATTAAGTACCAGTAATTCTCAAACTTTCAGTGTATTTCAGAATTATCTGTAATAAAGCAGGTACATGAACCACCACATCTTTAGAGATTCTAATTTAGAAGGTATTTTAAGCAAATTCTCTAATGCACACCATCATTTGAGCACAACTTCTATAGACCTTTATTCCTGGTAAAATATATTAACTTAAATATCTAGTATCTGAGGTTTCATTTCACCTATTTTTTCTCGCCATCACACTATCTTCATTCCTAAAGAGAATTCTTAGCACTTTAATATAAAAGGAAAGCCAGTCATTATGTTTTCAGAAGGAGAATAACAATTTCAAAATGAGTGCTACTTTAAAATACTTCTTAAATCTTTTGAATATTCCGTTTGACTATCTTGAGTATACAGAACAGTGTAAAACAATGTTCTAAGAAAGTCCCACTGAGTTCATTGTCCTGTATCTGAAATCTTTGTGGGCTTATTGGATAATCCTAATTGAAAAAACTTTTATTCTAGAAGAGGGCCAACTTTTTCTCTGAATATTTGGAGTCATGATTTACCTCCCGTATACTTTATGTAGAAAATGGTATAATCAAAAGGGTGTTTGTCATTTTGTCTTGATGGAGTCAATGTAGTCGCTAACCTTAATGACTTTGTCTCCTGTGTGTCTGCTTTTAGATAACATTGTTCATGAAGTGTCATCTCAGTAGTCTATCCATGGTCATTTTAGAGAGTTGTTTTCTCTTCTTTATACCCATTCTAGGGTTCTGATCCCACTGCATTCTCTGTACTTACTCAAGCCATCACTGGTCAGGTGGGTTTTGTGGATGTTGAGTTTTGTACCACCTGTGGAGAAAAGGGAGCGAGTAAAAGATGCTCAGTATGCAAAATGGTAAGAATGAAGTTCTTTGAAATTCATTGACAACTGGTTTAGATTTCATTCAAGTTGATAATTGATTTTTAATATTCTGTAAATATAATGATAGATATTAATTTTCTAATAAATTCTAATACATTAGATATAAAATATTGCATCTAATACTGCAAAGGAATTTGGAAGAGAGCTAAGGATAAGTGTAGTTCTGTGCCCTATCTTCTGCCAAATGCCCAGACTGCCCCAACTTCTGTGCTGGCTACCCCAAAGAAGAAAGGATATGAATAAATGAATGGATATGAGCAAATAAGAGAAAGGCCATACATAGGGGACCGAGGCTGTGCAGAGAACCTAGAATAAGACAATTCATAAGTGTATAATCTTAAATATTCTGATATTGACTTGAACTATTATCTCCTCATCAGCTCTTCCTTATAAAACTATAACTCCCTTGTGACGGTTACCAATCTTTAAGCTTTCTGGACTATACTACCTACTTCTGCAAAAATTATCTTTGTAAGGATAATTTTTTACAGTAATATCTGCTTGTTGTGTTTTTCTTACATTCAGATATTGCACACATGCATGTGTCTGTACATTCACTTTACCCTGTAGAGAATGTTAATTTCTTATTGTTTTAAGGTTGACATTCTTCAGCACATTCTTCTGTAACCCATTACATTCTGTTGTAAAATACTTCTCCAGCCTCATCTCCTGTAATTTCCTACTTCTCTGAGTCTCAGTTTCCTTATATGTGAAATAGGCTAGGGTTGTGAGAATTAAATGAGACCGTCTATATAGGCTAACTATTGTTGCATATAAAAACACTCCAAAATTCAGTATTTAAAACAACAATCATTATTTCTCCCATGTTTGTGGTTGGCTAAGCTCAGCCAGAAACATTCTGTTCCAGGTAGCTCATCCTCCTTGGACCAGCAGGCCTGGCTGAGCATGTGGTGATGGCAGAAGTATAAGTCTGCAAATAGAAACACATATGAGGCTCTTAAGGTCTAGCCTTAAAACTACCATGCTATCTCATTCCTTGGGCCCAAACAAGTCACATGGCCAAATTTAAAGTCAGTTTTCCTCTCCTTAAGTAAAAAGAACTTTGTAGTCACATGGGAAAGCGTTTGGATGAAGAACTAGGGCCAGTAATACAACCTACAACTCCATTTATGTTTAAGGGGCTACTGAAATGCTTGGCATATTATCTTGCAAAAGTCTAAGCTTCATTTACTCAAAACTCTTATTGTCCTTGAACATGTCATTTACTTCCCCTTTCCTGCATTTTTGTGCAAGAAAGTCCCTACACTTGGAATGCTTTTCCCATTTCTTTGTCTACTGACTCCTCCAGCTAGAGTGAGTCATTGCTTCCTCTGTGTTCCCATTGCGGTTACATCCTGTACGAGGCTGAGTGTCTGACTCCCTACATGCAGCCTCATCCTGCTCTTTTTTACTGTAGCTTTCTCTGGGACAACAATTGCACTGTACCAATTCAGGCATATAGTAGGTTCTCAGATAAATCATTTGTTAAAGAGTCTTTCATAGACCATTTGTTATATATCCATTATTGTCATAAGTGTAAGCTAAAAATTAAAAATATAAGTCAGTACACATGCATACATCATGGTTTCAAAACGAAGTATAGAAAACTTAATATTTTCACAGCGAAGCTCTTGGTTTAATGTCATAATGGAAAAATCCTGTAATCGTAGCTCTTAAGTGCAAATAAACCTTAAATTGCTTTTCAGGTAATATATTGCGACCAAACCTGCCAGAAAACACACTGGTTTGCACATAAGAAAATCTGTAAGAATCTCAAGGACATTTATGAGAAACAACAATTGGAGGCTGCCAAAGAAAAGAGTGAAGAGGAGAACAGTACGTATATAAAAGCCGAGCTGGCACTGCGGCTTAGTGGGGAGGGAGTGATGGATGATATTAACACAGGGCCCCCAGGAGCTGAGTTTTCTCTGGGGACTAATGAAGCTTGGGTGACCAGTGTAAGGATCAAACTTCTGTGTGGTCTCAAATGTGTCCGTATTTTGAATCCCTGCTTTTGGGGGATAATTTATAGGATATAGTCAGCCTAGTGTCACTGGAAAACAAAGGACATAAAATTCTGATTTTATTCCACATTCTACTTTCTGACTGCCCTGGAACTGTGGGACTCTTAATGAGCATTTACTTACATTCTGCTCACAAAGGATTTTAAGGTCTTTGAATAAGGGAATAATTAAATTTCCCCTAATGGCTAACCAAGTATTTCAAGATTGGAAGCCTTTAAATTTCTTAATTTAAAAACTGCAGGTGAAATTAGAGCAGATTTATGAAATCTAGTGGAATTGCTGATCTAATAATGCACAAATTATATTTCTATAAGTGTCAGAGCAGTGAGTTCCATAGTATTTTTCCTCAAAAGTGTATGACTTACCTTGGTCAGAAACAGTGAATTGTTTCAGCAATATTGGGGGAGAACTGCCCCCACTCCTATGCCGAGCCCCAGAGTATATATCATGCATTCTACGGAATGCTTGTAGTTTGAAAAGGTTGCCCAGGTGACTTTGATACTAAACACTTCCTCCTTTCACCCCTCAAAGGACCATGTCCCCTTTACCACTTGATTGAGAAACACTATTAGTGGGATTGCATAATCGGTAAAAATTAAGTCTAATTTGTATAAGTAAACTGAAGAGAACACTCAGGCTTTCTGATGGCCATGCTTTTGCCTGTTTTCTGATGAGACTTGTATACTATGTGTCGAGGACAGCGAGAAATAGCTGGTCATGTTCTATACAGGTAGCAAGAGACTGAGATTGTTGCCAGTGTGGGAACTCCCAGTTGCTAAACATCAGCACAGCCACACACTATTCTAAGTGTTACAAACACTGTTATTTGCCACAAATATAGGATAGGTTTTACTATCCCTGACCTTGTAGGTAAGGAAACAACTTTGTACAGACAGTAACCTACAGGCATCAAGTTAATTCATGGCAAAGCTGTATTCGAAAACAGACTTTGTCAGATCCCAAACAACAGTCATGATTTCAAGGCCTGGCTTTAGAGCCAGAGTCCTGAGTTCAAATACCAGGTTTGTTGCTTTTCTAGCTGTGGAACTTTGAGCAAGTTAGTGAACCCTAAACCCTCTCTCCTCAGTTTCCCCACCTATAAAATAATGATAATAGAGATAATTTCCCTCGTGGTTATTATGAAGATGACATAATATACGGAAAGTGAAAGGAAAATGACATTTTTCTTTTTAGCAGATAGCAAACTGGATGTCGATTCGAATGGTGTCACTGAAGAGCAGCCAGAGGCTGGACCGGCAGTGCCGCAGGAGGACTGCGGTGCTAAGGGTCCTGAGGAAGGGGAGAAGGCCTCTCTGCAGTGCGATGCTGGCTTGGAATGCTCACAGGAGGCTACTGCAGGTCCACTGGCATCTGAGGAGTAAAAGCCAGAGCACATGCCAGCACGGACACGGTCCTCACCCTGCAGGGGCTGGAGAACTCGTGGGATTGTCCCCATTGCCTGTGACAGCGCCCGGCACCGTGGCAGCATTTCCTAGAATAGATAGATGCTTGCCAGCAAAGCTGTGTCTACCCTGCCCTAATTTCCCCTGATTTCTGTTCCATAATTTGACAGATATTCCTATGGAAAAAAATTAATTTTCAAAATACAGGAGAAACATTTCTACTTCCTTTCGGAGCCCAGCTTTCCAGCAGTTGTTCTCAAAGGGGAGAAAATCCCCTTAAAGAAGAAATAGAGGCTCCAGGAAACTAAGGGTGAAGTCAGACAGGTGTAGGAGAGAGGAAGTTTTTAAGAAAAAAATGTTATAGTGACAAAGATGGGTAGTTAAAAAAAAATCATAACTTTTGTGTGAATAAAATGCATATAAATAGCATTTACAATAGTGAAATTCTATGTAGTAGGATATAAGGAAATGAAAAAAAGGCTGTGTGTTTAAAGATCTCTGCCAGAGTCCAGCTAATTATAGTTTTCTATAGAATTATCCTGAGCAGTCTGAACTGTATGTACTTCCTGCAGTGATGTTTTATCTACATACAGTGTCTGTACCTTCAGAAATACCAGGTTCCCAGGAGGCACTAAGGCATCACCAGAGTTATCTCAGCTTGTGCAGTAAAAGACATTTTTTACTCAATAATGGCTAAACATAGTTTCCACAATCGTAAAACTAATTCATGTGCCATATTCCACTTGAAAGGTTGACTTTTTTCTTCCTGCAAGCTTTCATGTGGCCCTTCCTGTCCAGAAACTGACGTATAATTGTTCTTTATAGAATGTTCCGGCATCAGTTTTTAGAGTGCAGTATTTAAACATAGTTAGTGCGATGGCTGAAGACAGCGCTGTGTTACACAGTTTCTTGTGTTGATTGTAAAATAAATTGTGCCTATTAATATAACCAACTCACATCTTGTTTCATAGTTTATTGCTCAGGGGAGGCACATATTAGAAAACAGCAAATATTAGAAAACTTAGCAAATATTGGAGACCAAAGTAGTAATTGCTTTTTGTTTGTTTGTTTTTAACTTATTGATTTGAGAGAGAGAGAGGAAAAAAACATCAATTTGCTGTTTCACTTATTTATGCATTCATTTGTTGATGCTTTTATGCGCCTTGACCAGGAATCAAACCAGCAACCTTGGCATATCGGGATGATGCCCTCACCAACTGAGCTACCTGGCTAGGGCCAATAATTGTTTTAATATGTACAATTACAAATAAAAACAACTAGAATTCTCACTTCACTTCACTGATCAAATTATTCTATCTGGTTCTCTCTCTCCTTAAAACACATACGTCTTTGGAGCATCCTATACCATGCTGCATGTGAGTAAACGTGGTAAGTGGTTAGGAATGCAGCAGGCAGAGTTTGTCGGAACTTGTCAGTCATGACAAGCCTCCATCAAGGTACCTCATCTGCACATGGATAAACCTTGGATAGTAAAATAGTCCTCCCAGGCGGCCCTGGCCCACAAATGTGTTTTTACCTGAGGTCCCTGATTTTTCATTGTTTTGGATTTGTGTTGACATTCTGTATTACCATCATGGTCCGTGTCTTTGGATACCATGGAGAGTTACTAAAAAAAGCAGAAGGAAATAGGAAAATCCAGAAATGTGGCAATGCAGAGGTACTTTTCCCCTTCATTGAAATGAATGTTGATATAAACCAGAACTCTAAGACAGCTATAACTGACATAGGAACTTGGACAAAGAGGACCTCACATATAAACGGTGTCATTATCACAATTTTTCCATAAATGTATTTCAGGAAAGGGGTGGTCAGAAAATGGGATTTAAGAGAAAATGAGATTGGTTCTGGTTATACTCCTTTGTCACAAATAACCAAAAATAGATGTTTCTGTTATTACACCATCAAAACAGGTGATTAGTCCAGTTATTTTTTTTTTAACCATATAGAATTCTTTTCAATACTAGAGGCTCAATGCACAAAATTTGTGCACTGGGGGGAGAAGAGGGGTCCCTCAGCCCAGCCTGTGCCCTCTTGCAGTTCGGGACCCCTCGCTCCTTAATGTCCACTGCCACAGAGGCGGGAGTGGCTCCCGCCACCACTGCTGCACTTGCCAGCTATGAGCCCAGCTTCTGGCTGAGCGGCACTCCCCCTGTGAGAGCGCACTGACTAACGGGGCAGCTCCTGCACTGAGCATCTGCCCCTGGTGGTCAGTGTGCATCATAGCAACTGGTCGTTCTGATCGTTCCGCCATAAGGTCGCTTAGGCTTTTATCATATAGACTAGTAGCCCGGTGCATGAAATTTGCGCACATTAAAAGGGAATTAATTGCCCTAACCAGTTTGGCTCAGTGGATAGACCATTGGCCTGCATACTCAAGAGTCCCAGGTTCGATTCTGGTCAAGGGCATGTACTTTGGTTGTGGGCACATCCCCAGTGGGGAGTGTGCAGGAGGCAGCTGATCGATGTTTCTTTCTCATCGATGTTTCTTTCTCATCGATGTTTCTAACTCTATTCCTCTCCCTTCCTCTCTGTAAAAAATCAATAAAATATATTTTTTTTAAAAAGGGAATTAATTAGCAGAGACCAGGTAAGTGCATTTGCCCTTTATAATACAAGTGTGAGAGATGAGAGGAAATTAATAAAATGTATATGAAAATCATAACAAATTTATTAATAAACAGTAAACAAAGGAT